GAGACTGATGGTACGCACCAATATCGGTAGGGTATAGAGACTGGTAGAATATCATAGAGGGAAGCACAATGGACCAATACTGGTCTAAGTGCATGGGGAAACCCACCCTCTCCAATAACTAACTAACTAACAGTGAAGTAGTTACTAAATATGGTACCTTATTTTATTTTTATTAGCTTCCTGAATGGGTTGTGCAAACCTCTATTCCGAAGAATGCTTTTTGTAAGGTAGAGCAGTGGCCACTGGGAATGAGTTTATGGAAAGAAGGGGACTGTGGCCTCAAAAAGTTTTGGGAACCACCGTTATAAATTAAGATACGGGGTTTGGATTGGTAATCAGCTTTACAGAACTCTTACAGATCATAACTATAGCGCTATCTCTAATTCACACCCTCCACACTACGGCACGCACCAATTCTGCACAGTCGCCTGTTAACTCTTCCAGCGCTGTAGGTCCCTCAGCAATTGCCATGTACGCCCATACTCTGCCTAATGCGATTTGATCATGTAAAGTTGACTGAAGAAGCTGATTCAAGTGGTAATGTTTCTGACTTGATTTCGGGGCTACGCTTTCAAATCTAGGTCAGGACATCGGCTATCCTGAATGACGTTTCTTTTGTGATGTTACTCAGTATCTACTGGTAAATGCCGGGAGAGTACCGTAAATTATGGTAGGAACGATTTTTCCTACATCCTTTTCAATACTTTTTCACCATAATTCACTCCTTCGTTACGTAGTCACAGACAAAAACAAAACAAACTCCGTGGCCTGTAGTCCACAAGCAAATTATACCGAACGACTGAGCGACCGCTGCTTGTCGGCGAAGTTGGTGCCAACTTTTGCGGATAGAGGATGTCACGTGATAAGCGCAACGGATCCCCACGGCCGTTAATATCATTTTTATCTAGACCGGAGACGCTGTTTCCTTGAAATAGCTCCTCAATTATCCTCACGAGGCTAAGTGAACCCTGTTCCAGACCCACTACTTCTCAGAGAATCTAGTAGCGCAGGGAATCGAACCCGGGACCTCTGGATCTGTAGGTAGGAATTCTGACCAGAGAGGCCGTCTAGTGTTACAGACAGCACCTTAAAATATGCAGACTACACAATACAAAGTTTCTACAAATCTGTTGGCTGGATCGTGTTCCTTACCTTTTGTTCATGTAACAAAGATGTATTTCGGTCATCGAATTCGAGTTTCAATTACACTCTCATAAAAATCACGACGCATGTCCTTAGTTTGATCACTTTTTTCGACAGAATATCTCTTACAGTTTTATATTAATTTCGACTACTTAATTGCAATCGTTATTTTTAAATATCTTTTACCATATTCCAAAATTTCTATCGAAGTTGCACACCTGGGTACTTACGAAAATGAGAAAGGGTAGCTTCACCTCAACACACACATAAAGCCACTACTTCTATCGTCTTTGCTGTCTTCCACGGGCCTGAAGAAGGTGTTCGTGTGAACGTAACGTCAGCAGTGTTGACCTATTGCTCTTGCAGGCTTTCACCGCTCACTCCGCGAATATTCACGAAATGGAAATTGCTACTGTCGTCACAGCCATAAAACACTTTTATTTCTCCTCTCGTATACATTCAAAATATGAATATTGCGTCATACATTTAAATCTATATACATACATCTAAAAACTATAAATTTGCCTGTGGTTCTGTATGGGTGTGAAACTTGGTCTCTGACATTAAGGGAGGAACATAGACTGAGGGTGTTTGAGAACAGGGTGTTGAGGAGAATATTTGGACCGAAGAGAGATGAAGTGACAGGAGGTTGGAGAAAACTGCATAATGAGGAGCTTCATAACTTATACTCTTCTCCAAGTATAAGTAGAATAATCAAGTCAAGGAGGATGAGGTGGGCAGGTCATGTAGCACGAATGGGGGAGACGAGGAATGGATATAGGATACTTCTGGGAAAGCCAGAAGGAAAGATACCACAGGGAAGACCAAGGCGTAGGTGAGTGGACAATATTAAAATGGTTCTTAGAGAGATAGGATGGGATGGTATGGATTGGATAGATCTGACTCAGGATAGGGACCAGTGGAGGGCTCTTGTGAACACGGTAATGAACCTTCAGGTTCCATAAAATTCTGGGAAATTCTTGAGTAGCTGCAGAATTGGCGGCTCCTCCGGAAGGGCTCAGCTCCATGAGTAAGTAAGTATACATACATCTAATGTTTCCGCTGCAGCATAATTACTTTCCAGGAAATGAAATCCTTTTTTGCTTCCTTTTACCTGTGTGTCAGGCTTGTAAACTTATAGATCGTTAAAGAATGAAGAATAGTATTAATTCCTACTCTTTATGGCCTTCAAATAATCTGTGAAACAATAATATAAAAATAAACCGTACGATACAGTGGCAATTAATTCCACAATAATTATAAAACTTACGGATATTTTAAATTTGTTACTTCTTATGTTTTTATTTCCTCAAAGTTGGAGTTGTGTCCGTCTCGGAAACTACAGAATGGAATTAAACTACATTTAACACTGGGGACTCTCATAAAAACTGTCAGGCAAATTTAATGTTTGTCCAATTTGACCCCTACTTTACATGAAGCTCAGGTAGGAATTTATTTATAGAAAAAGGCGTTTTCTTACAAAAGTTTGTGTATATGATATCAAGTGTAGTTCTCATTAAAAACTGTGAGTCGGGAGAGAGCTCAGTTGGTACAGCTAAGTGCTGAACGGTCGGGGTTCAATTCCCGGAAGTGGCAATATTTTTTCTTCTCCACAGCTTCCATACTCGCTTCGGCGCCCACCCAGCCTTCTATCCAATGAGTACCGAGGACTCTTTCCCTGGGGGTAAAGTTGCCGGGGCGTGAATCTGATCACTAACCTCCGTCTAGTTTCGAGGTCAAGAATATTGGAACTGTACCTCTATTCCCTCATATGTCTTCATGGCATAGTGCTTACTTAATCAAGCACAGGGATAATTTTTCTTACGATTGAAGCCTACAATTTTCTTTAAAACATATTTTGACGTGATGAATATTAAAGAAATACAGCGAAACAATAATTTCGGACTCTGTGCAATATGATCACAGCTGCAAAATGGGTCTGTATGCTCAATAGACTAACTTAATTGCAGGAGAGGTATACAAAATAAGAAAGAATGCATTTGGAAAATGTGTCTATGTGCAAATGTACATGTTTTAATGATATGATAAGCTGCACAGTCACAGCAAATATGAATAACAGCGGAAGAACAAAATCGCTCTTCAAAGAACGTATCTTGAGATTTGTGGAGATATGCTAAACACGGAAATATGTGACACAAACACTTCTAATGAGCGCGCCTATTTCTTTCGCTGTTACCTCATATCAAGGTTGAGATTTCCGGAGGTCGAGTTTAATCTGCAAAAAACACCGTGAGATATTCGCTAGACATGCTTCTGGAACAGGATTGTTTGATACTAGTCATAAGCTTCAGAAAAAAAAAAAGCCTGATGATTCAAGGCTACATCTCACGTTTCCCACAAAAAATCAAGATATTTCCACCTGTACATAATGCATTTAACCAACGATGAAATACACATTTAAATGCTAAATATAAGATGTAATTCCGGGAAATAAATTATAAAACACAAACACATTTAAAGGCTATATAGAGATGTAATTCCAGGAAATAAATTATAAAACACAAACCACATGACTTTAGTATATCTTCCTATGTTTGCTATTAGAAACAGAGTTTTCATAAATTCTAGAACATGTTTCAATTCACATTCTATCCAAATGCAAATCAAAATTGCAAAAACACATAATTTTTGGTTTACTACAGAAAACTGAAATGCTACGTTGGATTCCTAAAATACCTTCTTCGAGGTACGCAGAGAATCCACAGAGCCACATGCCCAGCTCATTTTGGCCTCCTAGATTTCACTGTTCTGTTAACAGAATGTGACATGTATAACACACGAAGTTCCTCTTTATGTAATGCCCTAAATTGCTCAGTTACTTTATCATTTCTATAATCGAATATGTTCCTGAAAGAAGTCCTTACATGTAGGGACGTTCACAAACCTGCAGAGCACGTATGAAATTTGTTCAGCTTGTCAATTTTTCCGTAAACATGAAGCAACTTGCGAACTGATAGACTACATTTCACAAAATTTGATACTGGAAAATTATTCTAAGAATTGTCGAGCCATTTCAATCTTCATTTACATTGTGAGTGTTTGATGACGATTTTACATGAAGATGTCATGTGTTTCTGTGCATATCTCACTAAATATTTATAGGAAGGAAAATGTTTCAGTCAGAGATATGTATATAGCATACAACTGTAAACACTGGCCAACAACAATAGCAGTTAAAGATACAAATAATGTAAAGATAGCCAGACGATGTCATATTGTCGAAAAGCGTCTCTACAATAAATTACTATAGGTAATCATCTATTCAACACCAATATTAACAACACTTTTGTATATACAGTTTTAGAATACATGGGCAAATACTGGTCAGTGTACAACAATAGTAGTCACACTACAAATAATGCAAAGTTAGCCTGATGATGATGTAATGTCAAAATGTGTCACTATGTCACTACAATATAAAGTAGTGTACGTAATTAATTTACATACAAAATTGTGTTGGTAAACTGTGTAATATACTACTTAACTCCTTCTGCTGAACCCTCCTGTTAATTGTACACTGCATATTTTACACACTGTTACAAATTATAACCACAAAATAAAATACATTATTAATACTAATATATTTTGTTTGTACAATTATTGTGAGTGAGTATTATAAAATGAGAGGTGTCCCTGGGACTTTGAGACTATTCACATTAGCTGAAACAAGAGCCCCACAATTATGAATCCCTAGGAAATATTCACAACAATTTGACAAAGGTATTCTTAATATAGGATGACAGGTATGAACCACTGTGTACTTTCAGTCTTGTCCAGCACCACTAGAACCAAACAAAATATGAATTAAAAGTTTGTGACAGTGGTATATTAATATAATTATTGTGTTTTTGAACATTATCCATCATTTGTTTTTTGTCTCCGTCCTCAGGTAAAAGGCCACTCACTTGGGCCCCATCAAGAAAGATGATCCAATACAGTCTCTGAAACGTTTTAAATAAAAAGGACAGAACCACAAATAATGTCCCAAAACACAATAATTTTATTAATATACCACCATCACAAACTTTTAGTTTATATTTTGTTTGGTTCTACTGATGCTGGACAAGACTGAAAGTACATAGCGATTCATGCCTGTCACCCTATATTAATAGTACCTTTGTCAGATTGTTGTGAATACTTCCGAGGGATTTGTAATTGTGTGGCTGTTGTTTCAGCTAATGTGACCAGGCTCAAAGGCCCAAGGATGCCATTTATTTTCATTTTATAATATTCACTTATATCATACATGTAATGATTCTTAATTTGAAAAATTATGTGCACTTTATTTTCTGTGAAAGGGTCGTTGGTCACCGAAGTTTCATATTTTCATGCTCTGTTGCAAATTAATATGCTGAATCAATAATAATTAGTACAATTGATATTCCCATGTACAGGGAATTGAACCTATCTATTCAGCAGTAAAAGTTAGTACATATTCAGTGTCTAGTTTGTTACTTGCATCTTAACTTATTTAATGATGCTTTTCAACTGCATGATTTAGGCCTATGTAGAGTCAATGTAGGAAATGTGAATGATTTTATGGAAAAGATTTGGGAGGATGTTTAGATTCCCATGACATAAATAACTATTAATCTTGTATTATTTTCAGCAGCGCAGTAGCATCCTTCCCTTAAATCTTATTCTAATTTCCCATGAAGTCATGTACTATGTCACACACTAGATTCATTATTTAAGGGTGTCTTCTCTATTCCATTTGTGTTCTTGTCTGTACCACTAAGCAAATTTTCAGCAACCATGTCTGAGGAAAAATAATGACAAAATTAGAAATGGTGCTACTTTCCATAATAAAAAGCACACATATTATGTTATAAAAATATCTTGAGGATGCTACGGCAGCTAATGGGAAGATATCACTTGGGAGACTTAAGTATAGATGGGAAGATGATATTAAAATGGATTTTAAAGAAATAATATGGGAGAATCTGGATTGGATTCATCTGGCTCTGAAAAGTGTTCAATGGTGGGTCTGTGAACACAGCAATGAACATTCATGTACTGTAAAATACAAGGAATTTCTTTGCTAGCTCATGGACTATTATCTTCTGATGATGGACCCAGCTCCATGGGATCAGTTTGTGTTGGTGCGGTGAGAACAGACTTTCTCTGGTTTACAGGATAAAATAAACAAATTTTGATTCATGTCATATCTCAGTCCATGTCAGATCTAAAGTTCAAAAATTTGGACCTACATAACATGTTTATTTCATGCAGTAGTGTCAGGTCAATTACTAACTGTGTGAAAATATATTCACTCCTGATTCTGTTCTCTCATGCTGAAGATACCCAAAAAACATGCAAGAGAAGCTTTGGAAGTTTATGTGAGGTGTTTATAACCTGAGAGCAATCCTCAGTTTTGGATCCTCAGACTAGATTTTTGGGAAATTATTCCTTGGATTTTTCATTTAGATTGAAACCTTATGGCACAAATTACTTCATTAGATTATTTTTGTTCTTACAAGTAGTCAAGTCTCCCTTTCGATTCTAACTCTACATTTCCCACTCCATATTCTTTTTCCCCAAGTTATGAAGAAAATTTAAAACATCCGTACTGAAACCAATTTTATTCTGTGAGAGTACATTCTGGCACAACAGTGTATGCCTGAGTTATTAATTTGGTTCTTACTCCAAATGCTATATTAGCGTATTATATACACTACATTCCTTTGCTACTATATATTTATTGAGGAGGCAGGATGGTGCAGTCAGTATAGAAACTGGCTGTGGGCTGGACGGTCAAGGGGTCAGAGTTTACGTCCCAATAAGGACAAGCACAAGGGCAAGGGTAAGGTTTTCCTCTCCCCATGTTGTCCAGACCGATTCTGGGGTCCTCCCAGCAATTTATGTAATGGGTACTAGGGACTCTTTCCCCAGAGGCAAGACAGCAGGGGTGTGCAGCTTACCACTCACTTCTAACTTGTGGCAAGGTCAAGAATATATGGATCTATACATCCACTACCCTATATATCTTCATGGCATAATGCTTAATTAACTAAGCTCAGGGACAACTTCTATCTTTCGTTTCTATAAATTTATTGTATTATATTTTACAATTTTTTATGTCATGCAATTGTACTTTTCTTTCCTTCCAGAAAAAAATGATTTGTGAAGACCTGTGTAAATTTTGAGCTGTGTGGCCATTGGCCAGGTCAAGTAGGAATTAAACTGAATTTATTTATTTATTTATTTCTTGAATATGGAAGCAGAGAAAGTGTTATGCAAGTAAGTAGTTCTCCATGAAATATCATTTTGATGATGGTTCAAGGAAGGAGTTACTGGAATGATGAAATTTCAGAATTACTGTTATGACAAATAAGCCTTAAGTGACACTATATTGCCCCTCACCTTGCAGCAAACACTCCAGATTGTCTTCATAACTGAAATATTTTGACATTTTGGCATCTATACCACGACACACGACCTCTGCACTATGTTTCCAGTTCCAGAATACAATCTTCTGCTTCCTGATATTCAGGTCCTCCACAAGCAATGTCATGTTCTGTCACAAAGAAATGTTTCAGATTTAGTCTCTCCATATTTGTATATGGCTTAATGTGGTATGAGTTGGTATGAACAGGATTATAGAAATAAATGATGAATGAGGAAGTGTAGAAAGTCACTTGGTCACTGTGTTAGATCACAATGCTATAATGCACATTTTGCAAATTTAACATAATAAACAATTTTTAAAGATGCAGATAATCATCTGAGAACAGGAATTAGCAGTTTCAGTAAGAAGGCTAGAATCTGACTTAACATCATAATGAAATCATAGTTGTAAGACAGTCCACTAGCAAAAATAGCCAGAAGCTGCCATAGAAATTAACATTTTAAAAGTTCAGATACTCTGTCAATATATTGGGACACTCTGCATGTATCTGTGGATCATACAGTTCTGAGAGGAAGTTTAAAATTATATTTATGGAAACAGAGTTTTGTAACACATTTGCCAGATTAACATTAAGAAATAATTTTGTTCATAAATATTTTGGTTAAAAAGATATTTGTTTCTTCTCTAATTTAGAGAAACTGCATAATAACACGTTTAAAAAATATACTAAAATGAACAGTGTGAGCAAGTGCAGATAATGAATGAAAGTTAAAATTCAAAATGCAAAAAATTCTCTTAGTGATGTCATGTCATTATCTCACCTTTGCAACTGTAGAATCTATATGATGGACATTTGTTCCTTCAAGAACAACTATCACATTGCTTTCTTTTGTGAGGCAGTATCTGAACACCACATCGCGGATATACTCTGCTGCAGGAAACACGAGACCTTGTTCTGGGGTCACCAAGAGCACTTCCTCTGTTTCAATCTGCAAGCACAAACATACACCGTGAAGTATATAACTTAATTCTCTTCGTGTTTTGTAGATTATTAACTCTCTCTGGTTAATTACTCATTGTTGTGCATCAGTTGCAAATATTATAAACTAAAAATCTGGATAATAATAAAATGTATTAGATTTTAACAGAATGTGATCTCCTATGTAATTTGATAGGGTTCATTTTGTCAATATATTTTTATGTTAAAACAATATATAATAATCATCTAAGCATATATAATTTACTTTCATATGCTGATTAAATACTATTAAAACCCGAACATTGCTGCATAATGAAACACTTCACCCCTCTAGAACTAACCAATAGTGCTGCACAAATTACCATACTGACACCCTAAAATCTGAGCATGAGACAGCAATATACAATATACCACAATGCACCCATTACCAAAAAAAAAAGTTCAATTTAACGGTAGTTCATGTCAGTGACCTTTAATGTAATATTCATTCTAGCAGCAGTAAACATTTCTTACAGTTTTATGTGGATGTCTTTCTGAGCATCAACATCCCACAACACTATCCGAATAATAGTTTCTGCTTCATGAAGGACTTGCAGTTCCATGACACCTTCATTTTATAACAGACTGAGGGTCCATTCAGTATATGACAGAATGAAGGTATTGTAATATCACGTTTAGTATATATTTTTAACAAATGAGGAGTTCATAGTATGAACAAAATTTTTACTTTTATCATTCCATAAGAGTTTGTCAGTATTTGTTCTAGTAAGTGTTCCTACTTCCAACTATTATTTTTTTAATTGCTAGTGGTTTGGGACTAAGTCCCTTGTACTGCGGCCACTTCTGGCCTATTGTACCAGCCCCAGATGATAGGTGAGGGTGATTGTGGAGCAATTGATGGAATGAAGATTGGCAGGGGAAATGGAAGTACTCGGAGAAAACCTGCCCCAGTGCCACTTTGTCCACCACAAATCCCACTTGACCAAACCCGGCATCAAACCTGGGCCGCCGCAGTGAGAAGCCAGTGACTAACCACTTGAGCTATGGCACGGCTTAACTTCCAACTAAGTAAATTATATTTTTCAAACAATATGCTTACAGTCAGACTGCGGACTTTGACTTTTGGACGGGCTGAATTGTACAGTATGAACATTAAATTGACAGCAATGCCAATAAGCATACCACAGTCAAGTCCAACTCCCAAGCACGCTACAAATGTGACTGCCATTGGAATAAGATCCACCCCTAAAACAATGTTAAAATTTTTTATATGTTTGTACCTGAATACCTGCAGATCACCATTAAATTAAATAATCAAAATTGTTCAACGTACAGTTTCTCTCAGAATTTGTTTAAAAACATATTCCTGCTCATATTCTATTACAGCTGCAAAGTGTGAAAATTAATTCTTTGTCTAGTCATAGCTTACAAATGAAAAACAGGATGACTATAATGAAGACTGACATTTAAGAAACATTTTTTTTGGCTAAAAGCTCTAAACCGTTAATACATATATGTAGTTTAATTTAATTAATATCAAACTATAGCCCACCAAACAAATTGTCTTAGTTAGTTCAAGCTATTTTGGTTTTTACTAAATCAGTACACATGAGTATAAACACATACGTTTTGTCCGCCAAAGTAAAGGGACCATTTCAAACTCAACTAAAGACAAGACAGCACTGATGATAACGCCTGCAAGTGTTGCCTTTGGAATGTATGCAAACGTTGATGTTAGAAGACCCAGTGCCATTAACACCATTACACCTAAAAGAGTCATTCAACATTTGTTCAACTCTGGCAACAAATCTTAGCAGCAACATCATAAGACAGAGACCTGTATTAACTGACTTTATGTTAAACACAAATACTGAAGGCACAGGTAATGCCAGGATTTTTTCCAAGGAGGAGCAATTTGCTTACAGATTTACATTTAAGCAGTTTGTGACTATTCTTTACTGCCTTGGGTATTCACTATAGAAGAATAACTTAAAGAATACTTTTAACGTTTGATATATAGGAATAGGATTCTTACTTCTCTGTGCCACTTAGTGAAGATATTACCACATAGCATGAAAGCTCTGAGTTCTATTTCCTTACCAGTCATGAGACCACCAAGAGGGGTCTTCACACCTGATCCATTGTTCACAGCTGTGCGAGAGAATGATCCAGCCAGTGGAAAAGACCGCACAAATGAGCTCAAGACGTTAGAAAAGCCCAGTGCAAACAATTCCTGAGAGGCATCCACTGCTTTACCCTTAGCTAAAAAACACACAAAAAATAAGTAGGAAAACTTAAAGGAAAACAATATAATATATATTACACCAGTTAGAGATATTCAAGATGATTTTATCAAGTGGCCAATACTGTGAAGATGTTAATGTCTCTTTTATAGTTACAAGAACTTATCTTCACCACCTCCCAGAGCACAGTGATCATATGTATCCATCTGTGTCAATGGGAATAGGTATACAACCTCTTTATTATATCTGTCACAACACAACTAATATCAAGATCTTGATATTAGTGATGGACATAATAAAGAGGTTGTATATTGTAACACAACAGGATGCATGAAATGAAAAAAAGAAAAAAGGGTATAGGTATGATGACAGGTGGACAGGATTTCAGAAGCATAGTAATTTCTGCAAGAAACATGTCACTTATATCTAGGCAGACATAATTTACATGGAAACAAAAATAATATTCTGTATATTCACAACCTAATTGACCACCTTATTCATATCTATAAATGATCAACTCTACAATTCTCTATTTGCAGCCTAACAATTACATTATTGAACTTACAAGGCAAGATTCAGTCATGAGTTATCTCTGTGAATATGCTCGGTAGGTAAGAGTACTCACAAAAAGCCTTTGCTGTGGCAACAGTCTCCAAGAATGAGATGAAAGGAATGCTGATGAGGGAGGTACCAAATTTACTTGCCATATCATCGAAGCTGAGAGTTGCGTTATGTGAAACTGTGCTGAATGGAGGAAGTCCAAATGGTGGGAACCCTTCTTCAATCTCACCTGAATCAGACATATCATACTGAAAACTGGAGGATTTCTGTTGACTGTCAAGGTTTTCTTATGATTTTGCAATTAATAACACTACTAGAAACAAACTCCAGGGTCTTATTCCACAAGAGAACTATATCAACCAACTGAATGACCGCCGCTTGTCTGCGAATTTAGTGCCAACTTTAGTGGATAGAGGGTGTCACATGGTCATTGCAATGAACTCCCACTGCCGTTAATCTCGATTTTCTAGACCGGAGCAGCTATTTACTTGAAACAGCTCCTCAATTATCCTCATGAGGCTGGGAGGACCCAGTTCCAGATCCATTACTTGTAAGAAAATCTGGTAGTACCGGGAATCGAACACGGACCTCTGGATCTGTAGCCATGAACTCTGACCACTAGACCACACAGGCGGTCTTTATTAACAATAATAGGAAAATTAAATTTAAACACACTATATACGTATGTATGATCATTATCAGAACTTGTATCAAGGAGCATGTTTGTCACAAATGTCACATTCATTGAAACTGAATTCCACATTTCAGAGGCATGCTATTGTAAGTTGTCATATGCAGTACTCTAAACCACAATGAATCTGAAATGGACTTTGTGCTGCACCATGGTGAAGCGAATTACTTTTGCAATGACACTTCAGATAGTGGATGAACAGTGGAAAAATAAGAATGATAAAATGTTTGGATTTTATACCTGTTAGCTTAAATGGTTTATATCCCTTGCTTTCAAGAATGTAGGCCAGCATCATGCCAATAATGACAACAATAGAATTCCGTGATATTGAAACCATCCACACCATTTTTCCTATGAGCTTTTGCACTGAAGAAGAGTTCTGGCATCTTCCAACAAAGTCTTTCAATTTCTGTGTGTACACAAAAAATATTCTATGAAAATATCAGCAAAACTTCTGTTCTGACGTCTTGTAGGAATATCTCTTAAATTTTCTCTACTTACAACAGATTTGGTCTATATGAATCTCAATGAATTACAAACTGTGTACACTAAGACCATCTGACATAGCTAAACCAAAATCAGTTATCTTAATACAGTATTATGCATAATGTTCTGAATATTCTATACAGGTCACATTCCCTTTACAGGTATTAAGATATCAGTATAGATATTAAGCATTCTTATGGTCTAAGAATCTTTGAAACTAAATTCATATTAGTTTAAATGGTTTCATTTCTAAAGTATCTTTAATTTGAGAGAACATTCACAAGCTTATCTAGCAAAGTTCTATTATACAACTGATCAGAAACATAGGTACAATGGCATGAGAGGAAGGGATTTGGATGTATGTAGAATCCAAACTTTAGGGTATTCCTTTCCATTTTCAAGGATAACCAATATACCCGTAACATGTTATTAATTTTGTTAACTAATTATCTCAGTTGCAGTAACAAAGTTAAAATGTCCCAAAATAAAAGGAGGCTGTGAGTTATGTTAATGCAAGGGGTCCCAAACTTTTAAGCTTTGCCTGGGCCCAGAGATATCACTTTAATAGTGCTTCAGATACTATACCCGTCCAATCAGCAGAAGAACTACAGTACAGATGCCCAATGTCACATCACCAGGCTTGGTATCCTGTATATGATGAAACAGATTTTCCCATGACTCCAGGAAACTATGTCCATCTCCTTTAATTCCCAGGAGGCTCTTGAGTTGAGATGAAGCAATAGTGATGGCTGCAGCTGATATAAACCCAGCTGTGACTGGAAATGATATGAACTCCACCAGAAAACCTGACAGAACAAGAGAAACTCCTGAAAGCATGGATTTTGAATTGGGTAAGTAGGCCTAATTTTTCAATTAGTAGTGTGGTATTTTTTTTACCAGTTCCCTATACTTCAACAGTGTATATTAAATTCTTAGTTAAGCAGTATATGTTATAGAAACCAACATGCCAAATAAAACTACACTTTCAGAACAAAAGTAGAGACGTAATGTCTACATTATGCTTATATAATTTTAATTCATAATAACTTCACTGGTACTGGTGGAAAAATAAAAATTGTGAATCAACAAGAAGCTCAAATATGAAGTTTTTATGCATCCTGAACATGTCACCAGAACATATAATGGGAAAGTCACATTTAAATTTCTGCAGGGTCTATAATCACATTTCATATGATTTCTAGAGTTTCAAGTAAGCTGAGAAAACCTATGATGCTACAGCCAAATCAGTTTAACTAAGAATGTAACAACAAATGCATATAGATGAATTTAGGTTGCATAAACCCTAGGCCAGAATTATTATTCATAATTCTCTGCATTTATTATGTTGATTGAAAAATGATGTGAATCTACCATCTTTCCTTTCAATACATAATTATCTTAGGAGTCTGCAACAGGTGTCCAAAAATTACTTGAAAAATATACTGCATGTCGACATATGAGCCAGGATAGCCCAATCTGTATAGTTACTGACTACAGGCTGGATGTCTGAGGAGTCAGAGTTTGAGTTCCAGAAAGGTCAAGAATTTTCTTTTCTCCCCGTTGTCCAGACCAGCTCTGGGGCCCACCCAGCCTCCTATCCAATAGATACCAGGGACATTTTCCCCAGATGTAAAACGGCTGGGGCATGAAGCTGACCACTCACCTCCAACTAGTGCTGAGGTCAAGAAAATGTGGATCTATACACCCACTCTCCCAATTTCCTTCATGGCATAGTGTTTAATTAGTTAAGCGCAGGGACAACTTTACTTTTTTACTGCATGTTGATCAGTAGCTGCATTGGTTAACTTCAGTAATTTTTATTATCCACACTATAGCTTACGTCACTTCTTGTAAGTGACCATGAGGCTCAAAACTCTATTAATACTAGTGACAAATAGGGTTCTTTCATAATGTGCCAACTTTACCTGTATTACACATTTTACACCATGTACACATAGTACAGAAGAAATACAATTCTTTGTTTAGTCTGTTAGGCTTACCAAGTCTTAATAATCCCACCAAAATCATAACACACCCCACGAGGAAACACAGTAGAACTGCAAAATCTGGATTATTATTCTGAACCACAAAAGGATTTGTCATGATTCCCATCATGGCTGTTGGACCAATGGTAATGTCCTTGCAGCTGCCCAGAAAAATATACACGAAACAACTCATAAATGCTGAATAGAGGCCATACTGTAATGAAGCAACATAACCATTGATCAATTTCATTTACATAAGAAGGGATGGAGGAATTATGAATATATTAGTATAACTAGTTTCACACTCTAATTCTTACGGACACTAATATTCCCACAATTGACAGGACCAGCCTATGTCCTAAGTTTTGGGTTAATGAACTGAAGACAGTTGAAATATTTCAACCCTTCATTAATTCCTTATTACAGAGCAGTAATTCCATTTTGTAAGTTTAATAATTTATTTATTTTGCCACATTTTGCAAATAAGTTTTATTATTTTATATGCATTTCACTGCACTGTCTTCTGTCCAAATGCACATTGCTCTTTGCTTTTCAGATTTTCATATTTGACATTTTGAGTTCTTTAATATCTGGACACTGCTACAGAATGGNCCAGAATCTTACAATCATAGTAAACTAAAATATGACCATTCTGATATATTGGGTTTCTGGACTTCATCCATCATCGTGGTTTTTAAGATAACAAATAAAAACACGACGTTTCGGAAACCGGATCTGTTTCCGTCCTCAGGTGAAGGAAAAGGGAAACACCTATTTGATCCAGTGACTGAGGCTAGCTCTTTCTAACGGACCCAACAGAATATGTGTTTCCCTTTTCCTTCACCTGAGGACGGAAACAGATCCAGTTTCCGAAACGTCGTGTTTTTATTTGTTATCTTAAAAACCACGATGATGGATGAAGTCCAGAAACCCAATATATCAGAATGGTCATATTTTAGTTTACTATGATTGTAAGATTCTGGGTATCTAGAACAGACTCCAGGTTACAAATCCCAGTCAAATGCAGAATTTTCCACATGTTTTGGCTTGATTTTTACATTCTTAGACTACTTTCTAAAGAAGGACCTAAAAGTGATTGGTTCACCAAGTAATTATGCCATTTTCATTCATTTCGTTTATTCACCTTCCATAAATCCTGTCGAGAATACATTCTCATGCGGATGCGGAGATCGTCCTAGTTACAGTCACAACTAAGAATTACAGTTATCATCCAATAGCATGCACATTTGTAATAAAATACTAGTAAATATTCACATATGATTGAAGCAGTTATCACCTTGCCAGTATATTTTTATATTCACTGTAGGCACTGCATAATTTTGGCAGTATGGCTCTGACGATGTATCGTATGATTGATGTGTATGAAATCTGTAGGTAATTAAGTTTCATAGTATTGTAGGCTGTGCCATAACTCATGCAGTTAGTCGCTGGCTTCCTGGGTCTGGTTCATTGGGATTTGTGGTGGACAAAGTGGCGCTGGGTCGGGTTTTCTCCGAGTACTTCGGTTTCCCCTGGCAATCTTCAGTCGACCAAATTATCCATCATCATAATAACCAGGGGCAGGCTACAATAAGCCAATCAGTGGCCGCCGTGCCGAGTGGACCCAGTTGGAATCCAACCCCCACTATGCGAATTAAAAAAAAAATCATAGTATTGTTGACTAATGTATGATATGTATGTTATTTTAATATGTAGTAATTGACTTGTTCTATATCTGGACGTTGTATTTCCAAATATGGATTCTCGGAACAAATAAATTTATTGATTGATTGAAAGTAGGATTGTACAAATGTGAATATAGTACAAGAAGAAAACTTGTTCAAAATGAAATTGGACCAAACACGAGGAAAAGCCATAGAAATTACTGCATCAAACAAAGCAAAGTCACATTCTGCGAATTTAATATCTTGTGAAAGCAATAAGTTCTAAGAATGAACCATTATTATTATTATTATTTATTTTTTGAGCAAAATTTGATACAAAATATGTATTGAGGAAAGCAGTCTTCTGGGATTTTGCACCGTGTATATGTGGTGTTAACCGACGTTTCGGAGGAACGTATCGCCTCCATCTTCAGGGTAGAAGAAAAAATATATAAGAAATCTGCAAGCAAAGAGACCGTGAGAACCGAGAAGACTGCTTTCTTCATAGTCACCGCCGTGAAAGCCTCAAATCTTACAAAAAATGTATTACATAAATATCTATAAGTGTGAGAACTTTCAGATAACATAACTTTACATCCCTATAGTACAGTTGGTATAGCTATTGGCTGTGGACTGGATGGGCGAGGGGTTGGAACTTGAGGTTCGTAGGGGCAAGATTTTCTCCTGTCCACGTCATCCAGACTAGTTCTGGGGCCCACCCATCCTACTATCCAGTGGGTAATGGGCGCTCTTTCCCCAGGGGAAGAGCAGCCGAGGCGTGAAGCTGACCACTCACCTCCAACTAGTGCCAAGGTCAAGAATGTGTGGATTTATATACCCACTCCCCCATACATTTTCATGATGTGGTGCTTAATTAGTTAAGTACAGGAATAACTCTAACTTTTTATAAGATTTTAAGCAGAATGAAAAAAATATATTTTTTATACTTGTAATTTTAAACACACAAAAATTGGAAGTACCTTTCTAATCTCTCACAGAGTTAATTTCAGAATATCTAGTTAAAACATTTCTTTGATTACTGGCAGTAAATAGGGAACTAACTGTAAGTTTTGCATGATCTTCATATTGCTTTTTAGGACACACAAAAACTGCTTAAACTGGAAATCCTCAAAAGCAGAAAACTAACTATATGTAATATTTCCATTGTTACAAGTGAATTGTGCTAATGGAATTATAAATCAAGGACAAAATGACAAACCAGGAAACCTTTAAATTGTTCTGTGGAGATTTATTTCTGAAATGCTTTTATTAAATAGAATACATAAGCAGTTATATGCATACCTGTGGCTGCAGACCTGCAATTTCAGCATATGCAATTGACTGTGGAATTAAGGTCAGTGCAACAGTCAAGCCTGCCAACATGTCTTGAACAAAAGTAGAGAAATTATACTGTGGGAGCCATGTGGTGATTGGAAATCGCCTGTGCACGAGGTCTTTCGTACACATTTCAGACACTTCTCTTACAGTGCAAGATGTCACAGTATCTGCAGCTTTGGAAGAGCAGGCTGGCTCTGGATCCTGTCCTGCTAAACAGAAATGAGTATACATTGATTATGGAACACTGTGAATTCATAATACTTGAAAATGGTTGTCTCATAAGACTGAATTTTGCCAACTAACTAATAAGCAGGTATAAAAAAAAATTGTATAATTCATTTACTGTTATGAACGATCAGAATATTTTATATATAACATATATATATTTATATATAACTTAGCCCTTTGTATGGTGATGGTGTCTACATGTCCTCCTTACCGTAATGGTCAATATCAAAATCTCTTGACCACAAAATAAATTTACAGCTTAGTTTTAGACCCCAGAATAATAGGCAATATTTGTTTTATCCAAAATATATTGATGAAGATTAGTATCTTCTGGGATATAACGCCATGTAATCTGTTGAAAGTCAACCGACTTTTCAGAGGAGCATATAGCCTCCATCCTCAGATTCGAAGAATAAGCCAAGCAAGAAATTAAGCAGGTGGCAAGCAGAGTTAAGCTGATTTCTTACTTGGCTCATTCTTTGACCCTGAAGATGTAGGCGCTATGTTCCTCTGAAACGTCTGTTGAATTGGGACTACACTGCTTTATAGTGGGCACATAGTAGCATAGTTGGTTGAGGTACTATGCTACAAGCCGGAAGGTCGCAGGTTCAAGTCCTGATGAGGTCATTGGATTTTTTTCAATTGACCTCTTCCTTCCAACAATGCCACTAATTTTATAAAATGAACATTTGCATCAAAAGTTTATCGGTGAAACAATGGTCCTTGTAATTTGCATTATTCGATGTCCTACAAGCATGTAAACAACCTCTATTCAAGTCTCCCGCTCTCTGATGTTATTCACCTTCCATTCGTCCCCCCACACTCCTCACTCTTCCTAACACTTATGGATACCGCAAAACCTGAAGAACCTGTTCATATTGACAGCCATGAAAACCCTGTATTCCGACTGCAAAACTTAACCAGATCACTTATTCGCATAGTTGTGGCGCCAAACAGGTGCAGCTTTTAAATAAAATGGCCATATTCGAATACGTTTTATGCCCTGTAGACATCGAATCAGGATAGCTCAGTCGGTGTAACGACCAGGCTATGGACTGGACAACAGAGGAGTTCGATTACCGGCAGGTGCAAGAGAGTTTTCTCTTCTCCGCAACGGCCAGACCGGCTCTGAAACCAGCCAAGACTCCTATGTAATGGGTACAGGGGGATGTTTCTCCGGCGGTAAAGCGGCCGGAGCGTGATGCTGGCCACTGAACTATAACTAGTACCAAGGTGAGTAATGTTGAAGCTATACCTTTACTTCTACATGTCTTCGCGGCACAATACTTAATTAATTAAGCCCAGGGATAATTTTGCCTTTACTTGTCCTGGAGATATACAGTGGGCCCTTAATTTAAAATTCCCGCAAAAATCGATATTCATCATTAAGGAAAAGAAAACTGCACAGATGATGAACTTTTAATGCATTGTAGTCTGATAGAAGTTCACTGACTTTTCGGACAGACAAATTGCGTCCATCTTCAAGGTCCAAGAATGAGAGAAGCGAGAAATCAACAAGAAGTAGGTGGCAAGCAGACGTTCTTTTGTAACGTCGGTGAACTTCTACTAAAGTACACGGCTTTACATCTTGACAGTCACTGCTGTGAGAACCTCAAATCCAGTCTCATGATTAATGTTCCTCTTTTAATGTGTGAAGACACCATTAGATGCCATGTCACTTCAGATTTGGAGTATGTGGGCTCTTTGAACGTACGGGTGGTCTATTCACTTTATAAGAAAGAAAGGATCCGTTGAAGGTATCACTTATATCGCTTACACATGTTGCACTTCGTCCAGAAAAAATAATACCCTCATAACAAACCTTCAGACCAATCTCCACAGGTGTGTAACCTTGTAAGTTGGCATTTATACAGAACAAATTTTTATCTGTGATTTTCTGAACTTTCATGCCAGTAGATGCAAATGTGAAGACGATGCATATTTGTTCTAATGGTCCAAAATGGCCAGGGCTCGAACTATCACAAAAAATAATCAAAGTATTCAATCACGAGCAAAAAATATGTATTTTAATTTTTGCTAATGTAACTAAAGATATCTATTGGTAAAAATTCCAACTACGCAAAAAAAAAACATGGGAGAAACTGGCACAAATAACTAGTCACTGTACTGTAAATATATACATATAAGTACACCAGCGTATGTTTGGGCTCACGTGAGAAAAGACTTATTAGTCCATATTTTCTTTGAAATGTCACACTGTATCTGCACAATTATATTACTTTTTTTTTTAATTTCATAGCGTCTTTTAATGCAATTTGTTACCAAGTATTAAAAACTTACAAATTCCTAAATAGTGGTAGTTATGATCGATCCGCCTTGCCTTCACAAAATATAACGTGTTCATTAAACGTCTGAACTTCAGAAACATCTAAACTGAGATTATTTTAATTTTTCTGCCCTTATATAGGATTGCACCACTCATTAAAATCCAATTACAGAAACCCACATTCAATACAAATGTAAAATAGTTGTGTATACATCAAACATAACAAAAGTTGTAAATAAATTTATGGAAATTTTAATTAACATCTGATTGCTTGTAAATAACCATTAACTTTAACCCATGATGCACTGCTATAATAAACTTGATGTCGTTGTGACCGAACATACTGACGTAGCGGTAACTTTCTTGTCTCGTGTTCCGAAGTGTTCGCTTTGAATGTCTTCAGGAATGCCAGTTATCCTGACTGAGGATTTCAGTGCTTTTCATTAGTCCTCCCAGACAAATGCTGGAATAGTTCCTCGATTACTCTTATGTCACGACCGCTTGCTCCAAAATCCATGCTAAATCTTCTGTCATAGTATCAATCAACGCTGCGTAGTCTAGATAAGTATTGCAGACAGCGAGGAATGCATATAGGATTTCTGTGGGAAAGCCAGGAGGAAAGAGACCACTAGAAAGATGAAAACATGTAACAGAAAAATATTAAAATGGATCTTAGAGAAATAGGTTGGTATGGACTGGATATATCTGACTCAAATAGGGAAGAGGGCTCTTGTGAACATGATAATGAACCATCGGTCTCCATAAAATGCTGAGAAATTCTTGAGTAGGTGAACAACTGGCAGCTTCCCTTGAAAAACTCAGCTCCGTGGAGTTAATTTGTTAGTTAAATATTACAGATGCTTACACTCATTTCTATCTCAATTTTTGTCAGTTCTGGACTCTAGCAGTGACACGCTTTTGATATGCTGTTAATTGAACGTACGGTTTGTTGCTGCCAAACATAATAAAATATCGAACGTAATATTGAAAGGAACATTTGAGTTGTTAATTTTTAACTATTAGTTTTCATGCATTCATATTTGTAACCTTCAATAGAAGAACCATAATTATATATAGAATAAATGGCGATCTTCTACAATGTTCCTTAAATAGGACTGTATTTCCGATGCCATGGATTTCTTAGTGAGCTTTCAGTGGGCCTGTGAGGCGTTTTATAATCATATTTATGCATTATGGAAGTGACCACGAATTAATAGCATCAATTTCAAAATTACAGTCTTTTTTACATAACGCCATGTAAGTTGGAAGATATGTACCAGCGTTTCGGATGAATCCGTTACCTCTGTCTTCATTCACTGTTCTACCCTGAACATGGAGGTAGCCGGCTCCCCCGCGGTTCCGGCGCTTGTCTTCCAGTCTACACGGCCTAACATCCCACAATATTGATACCGCAATGAGAACCCCCCCAAATGTT